TGGCTCCATCGGTCTTTGAAAATGAAGATCATAGCGATAGCCCGGCGTTCTTTCCTAGTTTTCTATATGCATTGCTTCTGTAACATTCTGTGTATAAAGTAAGTTAAAGTAAGTAGAACTTTAAGGATTATGGTCAGAAATGAAAAAAAATGGAATTATTTTTGGAATTGTTGCACGGAGAAGAATATAGCAAGTATAGGTGGAAATATACCGTATCTTTTAATATCTCACATTTTTGTTGTATTTTATTTCTAAAGTAAAGATAGCCTAGAGTTCAAATGATTTGCCAACATACGAAAATCCTAAAGAAATATTAACAAATAATCGGTAAATTTCCTTTATCAGCTTTGACTTCTTGCAAAACCACGGACATGGAATTGCTAGGAATGAGCTAAAAAAAGGATAGTCAGAGTTATTTTTCTCTCTCCCTCTCTTTCTTTCTTCCCCTCTTTCTCCCTCTCCCATTCACTGTCAAGTAGTAATTTTCGTTTCCAAGGATAATAAAAACAGTCAGTTTAAAATTTATGCGTTGTGATTTTTACCAACCCGAGAACAAACCTTTCTCTTGTATGTAAAAATGACTACATCCTGTCTGAAGTTATTAAACAAATCACATGAAATTCAAATGTCAAATTTTAAACAATCAATTTAAATGTCGAAACAAATCCTGAGTTAAAATTTTAAGGTAGTATCAATATTTTTTATTGAATTATTGAAGTTATTTGATACATTCTAAAAAAATTGCCTTCTGAAGTTATTAGACAAAACCAAATAAACATATTTTACTAAAATAAAAATGTAAAAAAATCATCAAGATTGATCATTACCTATAATAGAACAAATAACAAACATGTATAAATCTTTAAATTCTTTACATTTTAATATAGGTACTCTACTTCTCAATAAGAGCCAGTAATCTACTATTCATTGATTTTGTTAATTTTTTATTCATCAGGTTCAGTCTCCAATATGGTAGTTTTAATTGCTTCCTGGATGTCTGCTTTCCTGTTATATTATTTGCCACCTCAATATACTTACATCTTCACAATTGACCATAGATTTTCGATCGGATTCAGATCTGGACTTGATGGCGGCTATTCCATTATCTTCTCTCTTGTAAATCTTTTATGCTCAGAGAATATGCAGGTAAGCTTAGACATATGGGAAGTAGCACTGTCATGCATAAATACACACTTCACTTTAAAAAATGCGATACTGGGACTTGTACCATGCAAATAAAGTGTTGTTCATAAAACCGCAATAGTTGACACTGTTCAGTTTAAATCCTTCATCAATTTGAATTCTCCACTAATGCTTTCTAGCCCATATCGTAATACTACCGCCCTCTCCTTGTTGTTTGCATTTAACCACAGGCCCGTCTGAATTGGATAAAATTCATCCTTTTGTCCAATCATCAGCTCTATCAAATGTTAGGTGCGATTCGTCCGTGAAAATTACTTTAGAAAAGTCAATTTTCATCTATTTCTATTCCCAACTTTGATGCTTTAAAATATTTGCTTTAGTGAGAGAAGCTTACCTAGGGAATGTTTTTACAGATCCCAATACACAAAGTGTTCTACACATTTGGCCCTTTTTTGACTCCCTAAATTTCAGCCTTTTCAAAAATCTAAGCACTGGTCAAAAGTGTTCGTTTTGCTATAACACGCTTTAGTTTACGTTCACCTCAAGGAACAAAGTCCTTAAAACGTGTTCCTTTGCTCTGACTTCTCAACTCATCTTATATTTTCAACAGCCGTCTATGTCGTTCCATGATCTCGGCAAAGCTTATTTTGATATCTACACTGTGGACATTCCCTTATTTTTTGTATTCCACCAGTTGTTAGATATATACTTAAAAAATAAGAAAAAAAATAGTGTTTATAACATTTCAGAGGTCTTAAGCTAATATTAGTTTAATCTGCATATTAATTTCAGTCAGTACCTTTCCTTAAATTCCAAATATCTCAAAAACTAACCATTAAAAATCGCAGAAAATTTAAGTAAATATTTAACTAGGGGTGGGAATTGACAGGTTTACATTTGACAAATATTGGTTCAGAACTTCTTGAGTTATTGAGGTTTATTTGACTTGCATAATAACTTCAGACACGCTGTAATATCATCTTTATTGAGCAATTGAGACAGGTCAACATTAATATCTTGGTCCCAAGAAATTGATGGAAACGAACGTGACACGCAAATGACTCGTTCCACATTTGAATAAGGAAAGCGGTCACCAAATATGCTTCCGAGTCACTTCGATGATCACGTACAAATAAGTTATTAACCGCAATTTCGTAGAAAATATGCGTTCTCTGACAGGGATTGAACCTGTATTTCTATACGAAAAACCGTCATTTGATCTGACGTGCAATATATCATTTAGCTACAGAGAAATGCCTGGCTAACAAAGTCGAAGAATTCTGGTCGAAAATATTGAAAATACTAAAATTCTATATGAATCATTTTACTGAAAACATCTGTCTATTAGCGAGGTCCTGTATATTAAACATTTACCTTCTACCATCAACCTCAGTTTATTTAAAAGGTAAAATAGAGTGGTAATGTTTTTTAAAAAAATAGAAAGATGCTCACAAAAATTCCAACCGCGCTCAACAGGCGGAAACAGCACCAAAATAAAATACAACCTAAACAGTAAAACCTTGAGGAAAAACGAACAACACCAAAACAATCCACTTGATGAGCCCGAATTGCGATTTACAGGTCGGGGACACTAAATTCAAACAGGTGCGGTAGTTCAAGTATCTGGGAAGTGCTTTGACAGTGGACGGCAAGTGCGACAATGAGATCTCTAGATGTATTGGTATGGCCAAGGACGCATTCCAAAAGCTAGACAGACTATTGCGAGACAGGAGGATCTCTTTGGCAGCAAAGAAAATAGTACGGAGCTGTTATCTAACGTCGATCCTCCTTTACAGCAAAGAGTGTTGGACGGTCTCCTCAAAGATGAAGACTCGAAGCGACGGAGATGTGGTTCTACACAAGGATACTGAGGATTACATGGACCGAGCGTGTGAGCAACGATGAGGTTGTGGTGAAGATGCAAACAAGGAGGAGGCGTATACTTAACATCATGAAGAGGCAGCTAAAGTCTTTGGAACACAAAATGAGAAAAGAGGGCTTAGAGAAACTGACACTCATAGATCGAATAGAGGGAAACAGAGACAAGGGAAAGAAACGCATGACATACCTGGCGGGCTTGAGCAAGTGGATGACAGAACGTGGTTTGGGGGAGGTGCTAGAGGGCTGAAGCTTATTGAGGGCTACAAGGGATAGGAGGAAGTGGAGAGCCATGACCGCCTTCGCCCTGAAAGGAGACGGCACATAAAAAGAAAAGTGGCCGAAAGCTCTTGGGACAATGAAAATTAGGGTAAATTTAAGTACTCCCTTACTCCTGAAAAACGGTAAAATGTATGGATGCTGGAAAAATTAAATAAAATTAATTAAATCTTCATTGCCTGCCATATTTAATGAGAAATTTTTGAAATAATGGTTGCTGCCCAAATATACTTTTTATACATACATATATATATATATATATATATATATATATATATATGTGTGTGTGTGTGTGTGTGTGTGTGTGTGTGTAAATACAGTCTATTTTTGTATGCATATTTTTAAATATGTCATAAAATTCCCTCTTATTTTAATTGTGATCTGTGTTCTTTTTATCATCTAGATATCTACACTTTTTCAAGTGTTAGCTTCACCTTTTTTGATTTTCAAACACACTTCAAACGATGTGTTTATCAGCCTTCCGCAGGCAAATTTGATTCATGATTTACTTTTTCCTTTCTTGTTTTTTTATTCATTTTTTTTTCGTCTGTTCAACATGAATACAACGAATAAGAGAGTGACACGTAAATCTGCTGAACTTTGATTTCAAGGGGAAAGAATTTTTAAACATTTTTAATATAAGGAATGAATAAATAAAATCGTCAAGGAACTTAAGACTATACAGTAGAACAAGAGAATATATCAACCAAAAGTTGCGTTTAAATAAACTTTCGGTAAAGACAATAAATATATGCAACAACAAAAAAGAAACAATACATTCTCAGAAATTCAGAAGTTTTACTCTAAATATTGAGTTCTGAATGTATAAACATATATGTATAAATAATATTCATACTTCTGAAATGACCAGTTTTTTTTGTTTTTTTTTTTCGTTTTTTTTTGTTGTTGTTTTATTCTTTGTAGATGCAAATTCCGAAATAAAATTCAGCATGTGAACCCATTTTGTTTACACCGGAACCCTGGGATTCATTGTTACTTCCAAATTATCCAACATAATGATAATCTAAAGTAACGCTGAATATCCTCCAAATGATTGACGAGATGGATTGTCCAATGGTGGCAAACATCTTAATCTCTTGAATTTATAATCGTTTCTTCAGACTCTAAGAGAAAGGATTTTTTTTCACATCGGTTAGGAACTATAGAATAACTTTAGTGTTCGTAGATAGGTGACTTGGCAACAAGGCTCAAAATTAATCAACAAGGAGTGTGTATTTACTCTCACTCTGAAGACATAGAATAAGAAAGAACCAAGCCAAGATAGAAGAATCGATTTGTCAATGTCTAAAAAGCTGGCAATCGCTTTGACAACCTATACCCAGATGACTACAACTTCATTTCTGAATACCAAACACGATACTACATTAGAATACTGTTGTGTATGATACACCTAATTTACATAAGTGGAGTACCGACCATATAAATATGGGTTGGTACCGGAAGACGACGGAAGATTAAGAGATCGAATCCAGAGACTCTGCCCGACTGCGACTTAGTCAACCCATTCTGCAGGAACAGTCTTCCCAAGAATATACCAAAACTACCTGTAAATATTGTGTACCATTTTTTCATTGTTTCAATACATTTTGTTACGTACATTTTGTGTTGTATTATTATTATTCCATGCTTATTCAAGCTTCAACAAATACTAAATCTCATTCAGCTTATTGTCCCATCACGTTAAATCACCGGTTCCTGTACTATCACCAAAGTTAAGCAACGTTGAGCCTGATCAGTACCGAGATGGGTAATTGGTTGGGAATACCAGGTGCTGTAAGCTTAGATGTATGGGAGGTGTAATATATAATGGCTCGGAATTATTAATCGGAGAGACAAATCCAGTTGGGTTCGTTATTTTCACCGACGATCAAATAAACTTACAGAATCCACCTCTTCTCCCTCCAGGAATGGGTTAATTAGTAAGTCTTTTAACCGTAAATCATTATAATCACAAAAAAAAAATTACTAAAACGTTTCTGGCTTTAAATAAACTGCAAAGGGTCGATAAGCCGTAGAAAATGCATGAATCAATCAATCAAATACTGATTAACGACACAGTTTTGTCTTTCCGATTTATTTACATTTTCTGGAATAAGATAATATAGAAACTACTGTGACCAAAAAGTGAGGGATGATTTTCTTTATTGATTGTGATATAGATGTGATCCCCGATTTAATATCCGCATTATAATTTCTTGTTTGTCAATCAAGTTCTGATTAGGTGTGAATCAATCTGTTCTCCCTTCATCTATGGGTTAATTAGTAACACTTGTCACACTAAATCATTATTATCGGGGAAAATATTACAATCTAAATTGTTTTCTGGAATTAAATAACCCGCTTGGCAATTATTCAGCTAGTTTCGATGTCAAAGATCGTAAAAATAATTAATCTTTTCCAAGTCTCGTTATTTCTTGAAAGAAATGTTTCGGGATAACTCAAAGCAGCTTACTTTTCGAAGTATGAGAATTTTGATTGAATACTTAGAAAATCACTTTATTTTATACAGTGATGTAAATAAAATATAAATTTAAAATATTTTTATGCAGTTAAACGCTTTTCAATGAAATGAGATTCTTTCATATGTATTTAACGTGGAGCTGTTGAGAGTTTAGTAAATTCGGCTTGCCCATTTCAGTTACTGATTCTAATCTATTTCGTTCACTTCGCACTATTACCCCCAAGAAAGGAAGGAATTCATCTTTCTCCAGCTCTGAGTAAAATATTTGGGCAGATTGAGCTAATTGCCGTGAAGGGCACGTTAACGAGTAGTTAGAATGTTCGCTTTCCGGTGATGAAACCTTTCTTCGAATCTCACCATTTGTCAGGAAGAAGACTTCTTAATGCCATTGGTCTGGGATAAGTGGAAACTGGTTGATAGGACACACACGGGTTGAATAGAGATTGTTGTGGTAGCACGAAGAAATAGTGGTCGGAGTTTTTGAGCGTATAATGTACATTCTCCCAGAGACGGTAACTAAGTTACGCTCAGAATAGTGGCAGTATGAATCGCAGCTAGATTTTTGGGCGTTGAACAGACACAAATGCGACTGTGCATGCGTATGTTACCGCCTAGTAGACTGGCATCATCGGAATCGAGTGCCCAACCTCAAGAAGAAAAAGACAAGGATAAAGAATAACTGATGATGCCTTAGATACCCAGCTTCTGCTATTGCTACATTACATATGGTGCACTTATGACTAAAGGGTTAAGGGACGCGTGATATTTATACTCCAAATATTAGAAAGGGCAATACACATGCAGAAGGATATATATCTATGTTTTATAGATTATGCTGTGACATTATAAAGTGCCACTGGTTGCGGTTCAAAGCGTTAATGATGACGCTGTTGTGGCACTGATATTATGAGAAGGATTAAAAGGGTTCATATGAAAACCTTGTATAAGATTTGGAGAATTAGAATACTTAAAAACTTTAAGGTGAAAACATGATTTGAAATATGGAGCAAGGAAAAAAGAGAGATTTTTTTCCTTCGTGATAAACAGAAACGCGGTATGGAATGTTGGCTTCAAAATAGGATTCCAGGAATGTAAAATATGGCTGCTTGTCAGCTGAAAAATAAATGGAATTGTTATGATTCGCAAAGCCGATGATGCATACCATCTGAAATATGGTTTTGTAAACATGCAAAGTTGGCAATGTTTTTAATCGCTCATATTAAAAAGTTGACAACAAAGAAAATCGTTTGACGCCAACGACATAGGAAACATTTATAATGACAAAGTTTGTTTTCGAAGAAAACTTTGTTTTGAATAAGTTACCACTTTGTTTGAAGGTCAGTATCCACCAAAATTGACTTACTATTAATATTAATGAATTTTGAGGTGCGGTATAAGTTGGGTGAAATATATATAAACGGGCACTTAGGCAGACCAAAACAAAGACGCCGGCAGAAGCCAGGAGAAGCCAGATGAAGCCGCGTGACCTGCTGCCGAGAGAATTTTTTTTTGGGGGGAGGGATCACTTCAAGTTTTAGAAGAAAAAGACAAAATGTCACGATAAAGATTTTAATTTTTTGTATCAAGAAATATATAAAACAACTGAAAATTAACCCGGCGACCTTCTTCGTTATTTTGTTATGTCATTTTTTTTATTTTTGCCAGCGGAAACGTTCTTTGTCTTTTTGTGGGGCGGATTCGCCACAGTTCGAACCACCGCTCGAGTACGGATAAAACTCGAACTTCACTGTTCTCGGGGAGAAACAGATTAAGGAACGAAGCGAGAAGTAGATTCCATCAGTTGACCGGCGGTAGTAATGACCAACTGGGAAGGAGCCAGGATCTAGCCGGGCCAGTCGTGTAATAATGATAGAGTCGTCGATAAGGTATGACACAAAGAACTATTTGAACTGCTAGGTAAACTTGATTCATTTAAAGAAAGGTATTATAATAATCGAGAGCAAACAAAAAATAAAAAGGAGAGGAAGTTAAGAATATGTCTTCTCAACAGGCATATTCAACCTCCACAGTGATGTGATCCTGAGAGTATTAGATGTCCTATCAGGATTCATTTTCCGAGGCTACAATCTGAAGAAGATAAGATATGCAAATGAAACATGTTTGATGAAAACAACATGAAGTCTTACAGAAGGTAGTAAATAAAAATGAGAAAAGGGGATTAAATCCCAAATGTAAGAAGTTAGAATGTATGATGTGAGTTAGTATAAGGGACAAGCCAAGATAAGAACTACGAATTTAGAACATTAGAATCAAGCAAATATAAAACATTTAAATAAATTTTTAATCAATTCACCCCAAACAGGGCGATAAGGCCAATAAAACGCAAAAGGCTACTGGAAGGGAAAGAGAAGGAAAAAGACTTTAAAAGGAATCTGAAACACAATCCTAACTAGGAAACAAGGGACAAAACTCTAACCCTGTTCAAAAGATCGCGTAGAAGTTTGAAGGAAATCTTACAGTGTGGAAAATGTGACACCGAAAGCCGAAGACATATTTGAATACCTAGAATTACCTTCCAAATTATTACGAAACAGGAAAACTTTTGTGAGAAACAGAAAATGTCGTACCATTTATTGTTTCCGCCGTAAAACGGAAGAAAGTTTTGTTAAAACATAAGAAAATAAGTGACATTGAAACGAGAAGGGTTAATACCAAAAACTCGTGGGAAGAATTTAGGATTTAACTCACACATAATCGACTTGAATTTTATTTCGCGTAGTCTGAACAATGGAAAAGTGACCCAGACTTAAGGGGCAATGCTGATTGACACACAGCTGAAAATGCAAGCTGTAAAGCGAAAATTTCATTTTTCGTAAACAACGAATTTGGAGTTGATTCCCCTGGTCGAAAGTTAAGTTGAAATACGAGGTGGAGGGGGGTGGATAAGCCACCCACGCTCACTGAGGAGATTTATTGAGAGGTAATAATATTAGAGAGTAGATGAAGGGAATTCCCCAGAATTATCGAATTCTCTTCGCCGGTTTGGGCGAATGTCCATAAATAAGAATGCTCGAAGCGAATTAGGCAGAAGAAAGGCAGAAGAGACGGAGACGAGACCAAAAACAGGAGAGAGTCGCATTTAATTATCTTCCGACGAAAGCCTCCGATTTCAGCCTTGTGTCAAACTTTACCAAAGCAGGAAACTAAACTTTAGCTAGTCAACAACAATAGTATCTCTTCCGATTTAGACGCGGGTCAGGCTTACAATTATTGCATATGAACTATGTTATATTCAATTATTGTACGAAAGACTGATATAAACAGCGTTTTCTTTTGTTCAATTTGTTCGAGTGTTATATTATTTTTTTCCTGAACAACTTCACCCTGCTTGAACCGGCACAACACGATGATACCTGCGACGATTCGGTCATGGCCTCATTATGATTAAAATTAAATCACAACGTGGGATAAGGCGGCTCTAAGATCGAAGCAATCTTCATCGATCAGCTGCGGTGTTGGAAGTCTTAGACGACCGGGGAGGGTGAAGTTCGATTACAAAAAGAGTCTTGAATTGTTATGCAATATGGTCCTCCTATATGACAGTGAATGCTAAACAATGTGGTCAGTGATTAAATGTGCGACTTGAGGTAACAGGAATATGGTTCTACAGTAGGATACTGAGAATAATATCTAATAAACATATGGGTAAGAACGAAGCGTTAAAGAAAATGGAAACGGAAAGAATATATATATTTAACATAAGGAAACATACAATCAGAAATATACTGTTTGGAGAATTTAACACACCTAAGACATATTGAAGCCGGGAAGAACAGAGCACATCAGTGAATAACCGAACGAGCTTAACTGTTGGCATACCACGAATTAGAAGCAATAGTAATACCACAGACATTACTCAGTACGAGAGAAAGTAGGAAGATGTGAAGAGTCATGATCACGCTGTGCTCTGAAGAGGAATCTGTAAATCGGATAGAATACATATTTATAAACTCTTATTGTAGTTATTAATACATGTTTTGTATTAATATGTTACTTTAAAGGAAAGTATTTCAATTTATGTTTCATATTATGTATTCAATATTAAGCCACTGACGTGATACATATCAACCTAATATCTTACACATTTCAGCTACATTTTTATCCCAGAACAAAAGATAATTTAATTACGGTGTAGAAGATGTATATTATGTTAAAGTAACATTTGATATCAAAATCAGCTAGCGTCTTTTATATCGAAGGTATGAATAATACACAAACACACACACACACACACACACACACACATATATATATATATATATATATATATATATATATATATATATATATATGAAA